GTAATTAAGCACAAAGCTACACAATGGGCTATCTGTGCTCTGCCCACCACGGGTATCGAAACCCGGATTCTAGCATTGTAAGTCTGCAGACATACCGCTGTGCCACTGGGGGGCTACAAAAAAATGTTATCACCACAATAAGATTAATATTATTAGGGGTTTTTCTTGTTACTCATCTTCTGTTGGGTATTAAACTTTGTAAGATACGGTTACAATAATTAAAGCTTTTATGTCACAGAAAATATATAATTTATTGTAAGTTTGATTTATTTAGATTACTTTAGGACTATATCGCCAACATATTATAATAGTGGAAGTCTCTATTCTTTCCTGTTAAAAACTTGCCTGTCAATATAATACAAACCTGGACCCTAAAAATAAACACCAGATGTACACATCATGCTATCATCATACAAATAGAGAAAGTTATAATGTCGTTAACACAGAACTATAATATTTGAATCTACATTTTGATTTCATTCTTATTCATTCTCTGATGGTTTTCAAACATCATAAGATAAAGTTATAATTATCAAAAGTTTTATTTTACAAACTAAACTGATATTAGTCTAATTTCTATGTTGTTTAACTTTAAATTTAAGCTACTTGAATAATATCCAAACTACCAGGTTATTTTACTATATCTAACTACATATTTATCTAATAAATAAAATGTGTTAAGAATTGTTTGTTTCTCTTACTTGATTGCAAAACATTTGAGTACTTGTGTTGTTATAGATACATCACTGTTATCATGCAATAATAAATTGTCTAGAATACTATGTCAGGAAAAATGTATACATTATTGTTGCAACTGTCACTAATATATCTTTAATTGTTTCTAAACATTCAACAAAGCAAGAGCTTAATGTATAATTTGGAGATACCCAGCATGCCATATACTACTGCACAGTGTTCGGTGTTAAGCAGTAGGCATTATTGTTTGTACATTAACTTAGTTAATCTGAAATAATATTCCATCAGAAATTATCAATTTTCATACAATATGTAAAAAAAGAAGGCATTACATTTGAAAATGCACATTTATAAAAAGCACATGTTAAGAAACACAACTGTTTAAAAGCTAGCGTGACCTCTGTGATGTTATACATTTTGTGCAATAATCTAGTGTTCAAGTAATTATTATGACATCCCCCCAAAAAAATGTTGCATCATTTACTCCCAAATAATAGAAATAAATCTAAAATCACTTTCTTAACCATAGATAATTTCTTTGGCTTTCGTTATAATACTCATTTGATTTAGTTCCTTAAAAAAAAGGTTTCACAATGTTGAGCTTCTTCCAAATCTGAATTTATAAACTTAAGCTCAAGATAAGCAACACATTTTTGAACTAAGATATTTACTTTACAATCAACCAAATTCTATATTTCTTAAAATAAGAAAAATCTTTCTTTCATTCAGGAAAATGGTTAACCCAGATTTGGGATATTTCAATCAATTTTTTAGGCACAGTTTTTTGTGAATGCCAGAACAGCGTAAGTTTGGTTTCGAAATGCGAATTTCTTGCAGTTTCAGAAATCTCAGCTTCATTCTACAATTTTCATTTCACAAATAATCTCAAGAAATCTTAAAATCTAATAAATTATTTTATATTTTCATATTGTTTTTGCTTCATTTTGTCTAATTTTGCCAAAGGCCAGGTAGTACGTGAAAGCTGTCTTAAATGAAAGTGCCGTTTAGAATGATTCTACAAGCTAGAACAATTACTTCAACTTCGATAAACATCTAAAGTTATGTTACAGCATTTCCAAACTCATATTCAACAAGCAATATTGGTAACCAGATATTAAACATCCTGATGTGTGTTATCATATTTTTACATATGAGTAAACATTTTATTTTATAAAAACATAAAATGAAACAGGAAATTTTTTGTTAGAAAACACGTCAGATTCAACTAAAGTTTGAGGTTTAACAAAGTAACACAAATATTTTGCCAAAAGTATATATATACCATCTGTAATGTTTTACCTGATATTACTATACTTTGTAGTAATATTAACAGTGTTTAAAAATATTCAGAATATTAAAACAATCCTCACAATTACAAGCTTTACAAGAAATCTTAGAACTAATAACTTATAAATAGCACACTGGTATGGGTTATACAAAAAAAAAGTTATATTTAAACGTAAAAGTATTGGTGAGGGTCCATAATTTTTTTAATTATGCATGCACTAAGCTGCTTGAGGGACTTTGTTGTTTACAGATACTAGGCAGACAAAAAAATTTAAATAAGAATATTAATCTTACATTTCATCTCACTACTTACTTCTGGGCTTTTCCACGTACGTTACATGGAATATTATTAATTTTATGACATTTTTTTGGACCCATTCTTTCTTGTAACAGACAAAACACACAGTTAGTCACCATGATTGTGATAAACAGATCTTGCCTGTAGTGAACCATATACTAGTGAGTCAGTAATTTCTTAGATTAAAAAATTCAAATTCATGAAGGCAGGAACAAGCATGGAAAGTAACCACTGTCCAAAAATTCTTTTGTCATGAAAAACAAAACTATCAATTTAGAGCAGGAGAAGTAATTTCATATAAACTGTGATAAAATTCTGAAGGTGTGTAATTTAAATTGTCCTCTATATCACAGAGTCCTTCATGATTTTGTAAGTCATTAATTTTTTTAGACAAAGAGTTTAATAACATTTACTTTGCTCAATGAACACCATTTCTAGACCTTGTGGCCTAATGACAAAACTCAATTTAAAGACGTAAATTCTGATCAAAGATAAGTTTAAAAAAGGTTAGTCCTAGCTCCACATACTAATATCATTAAGTTCAGTTGAACTATATTTCAATTTTGGATTGAAATTGCTATGCCTACTTCTAACATTGAAAAGCACCAAAATTTAAATGGGTTATCTGCACTCTTCACCATGGAGAATCAAACCTCAGATTTTAGTGTTGTAACTTCAGAAATATACTACTGATCCACCAGACACCTATTTAATCTCTCATTGAATTTAAATACAAAATTAAATAATTTTTTCATTTCCTATACTTTTTTCACTTATTCTTAATGAAATATAAACATCTTGAATTTGTTAGTTTCTTCTGGTTGTTTTCTCTCATTACTCGACTTCAGTAAATTTATTATCAAATCCAGAAATAAATAAAAAATTAATACTAATAACCTAGCAATGTGCTAAAAGCAGCAACAAGAAAAATATGAGCCACCTTCCAGAAATAAATACAAGTATTTAGAAAGTTACTTCGTACCTCTAACAAAACTGTTCATCATCATCAAGGTTTATGTGAACCAACTGACGTACTATCTGATTTAAAACTTACATTTCAATTGCTCACTAACTCATAGTCAAAATAATTTTTTCTTGGAAATTACAAATACTCACACGCTTATCCCATCCAGCAATCATTACACCCTGAAATAAAATGGAACATTTTATGCAAGTTTATAAAATTATAAATTATATACACATTTACACAATCAACAAAAAACAAACAATTATTTCAGTCATTACTACAACTTTTCAGTGATGAAGTTTGTTCCTAAGTACGTGATTTCTTTCATTTCGACGTATGGAAATCTCTTCATTGTGCCAAATTAAACCTCATTTCAAAGGAAAATATATCACAATTCCAATAAAAGTTAAAATTTCAGGGAGTTTTGAAATAGAAATAAGTATTTTACAAAAAACAACACAACTGTCTTGACAATAATTTTTATCAATATTTATGCATGTATACTAGATACCAAGTAACAGCCATTTATGTGTGGCATGATAAGAAGAAGGATACTACAATTTTTTTTTTATTAAGAAATGTTTGTGAAAGGTCCACTTCAGTTTTATACAACTAATAAAAAATGTACATGCCATCTTTTCACAATACAAGTAACAAAAACAATAATAAAAAATTGGCAGACTTTACATTATCGTCCAAATCAAACACAGATGAACTGTTATATTTTCATTTGATTTTATAATTCTTGCACATTTGATGCTTCCTCTCCAATGATTTTGTACAGAAGATATTTTAAAGGAACTTGAAATTAAATATAAAATTGGACTAAATGAATAGGATTGATCATCAAATAAACACAGTATTTTATAATTCAGCTTAGGATTATCGTTACACATATTGCTAAGAACATTATCATCAAATAAACACAGTATTTTATAATTCAGCTTACGATTATCGTTACACATATTGCTAAGAACATTATCATCAAATAAACACAGTATTTTATAATTCAGCTTATTATAAAATGATAATCCAAGGTGAATTATAAAATACTGTGTTTATTTGATGATAATGTTCTTAGCAATATGTGTAACGATAATCGTAAGCTGAATTATAAAATACTGTGTTTATTTGATGATAATGTTCTTAGCAATATGTGTAACGATAATCCGTTACACATATTGCTAAGAACATTATCATCAAATAAACACAGTATTTTATAATTCAGCTTACGATTATCGTTACACATATTGCTAAGAACATTGAACTTGAATTTGTATTCTTGATTAACCCTTTAGCAATGTGTAGGTCAAAGTGCACAAGTCAACATTTTACAGTGTTACATTCAAAATTTAAACTATTTTATTATCAATGTATACAAATAAAATTGGCAGCAAAATGTAGTTATTAAATCAAATTTGAATATTACTTAGTTTTAGTTTTTCAATCTTTCCTAGTATTAGACTGACATTTGATCTCTCTGTCTTCCCTCTTCTCCTAACTTATTTATCACCTCTCAGAGAAGTACAGAATTTAATGTAAATGACTTATTGTGATATAGACAATATATTGTCAGACAAAGCATAATTTTTATAGCTTCTATCTTATTTGTTTACAGAGCTATAAACTATAAAATCATATCTACTTCTCCCACCCACCTGTCACATCCTCTCTTTCACAAATTGCCAATAGTTTTCTCTGATGTTTAATACTATTTTATTTATAACTAATAGAAAGTCAAAGTTTTAATCTATCAAATGACATATTATAATACATGATTTACTATACACCGAGATGTCTATATTTCCCCAGTACTATACTTCTTTCTCATAGAAATCAAATCAACAAGCTTAGCTGAATTTCTAAAGACTCTTATCGTATAGTTAGAAAGCAGGCAGATTCACTTACCATAGATAACCCCATTCCTTTGTAGTTGTATAGAATGTTGGCTAGTAACTTTGAGGCAGCTGCAACTGATATACGCTCTCGATTTCTCAGTTCATAAATCCTGTGAAGATGTAGAAGTGATTATAACATGCTAAACACTATTATTAGATCACCATCTTTTAATGCCATAATTAACTTAGCCACTTAACAAAACACTAGAAACCAAGTTGGTTCTGACAATTACAAGTAGTATCAGTAAAATAATATCTATAAATTACCATTTATAGCTACGGCTTTTTCTCTTACACAGAGATAGAAACTACAAATTTCACCCGATCTATTCTTTGAAATGTTGATATTTAACAATTTCTAAATTTAGAGGTACATTAAATTTACTAATATAAATGCTTATATACCATCAAATGAAAGAATAAAAATATTACTGTAATACAGTTAAGCCTTATAATTAGACTAATTTCTTATACAAGATCCTCAGAAACTGAAGTGCTATCAAATTGTTGATTCTTCTTCTTCAGGGTGAACAAACATCTTAGGTCAGTGAACTACTAAAACCATCTTAAGAATTTACAAATAAACTTTTCGTGGTTGATCAGTTTAAAACTTTTACTCAGGAGTAAGAAGTAGCACAAAACGTTAAACTTAATCAGTATTAGGTGTAAGAACAGTCTGCTACGAACACTATCTTATGAGTACCACTTTTGGAAATCAACACTAAATCAAAGAATTATTTTCCGTAACTATCTAAAGAAATTTTCAGGGAAATATGTATCGTCAGTTTAAAAAAATGCTTCTATTAAAGAACTGTATAAACTTTTAAACTTAGTATACTGTATGATCTGTACATATATCAGAATGAGAGCCAATATACGTGTACACATGTATATTGGCAAAAAGCATAAGGTTACTTTGACCAAAGATAGAAAAATGTGAAACTAGCTGATACTCATCCATAATGTAAGTGTTAAATACATATTTTAGATAATTTAATTCATATATTTACAAAAAAAAAATTTGACATATAAAAAATTTATCAGGACTTTATTAACATAAAAATCGCATGTTACATGTGCTAAAACCAACAAAAATATTTTTAATTATACAGTTTCAAGTTACCTGCATCGTTCGGCCAAAACCCTCTCCCAATACACACAGTCTGCTGCACCTCCGGCCATGGTTCCCAGTAGGTAGTCATTGATCTCAATTATCTTTTTGACTGTTTGTGATCCTATAAAAAGCAAGCCATGGCAATGACATTTAATTTTAAGACCCCTATTAATTCAACATCTCTGCAGTTAAAAAAAACTAAAGTTTATTTAAATACTTGCAACAAATGTTTTTATGCAATAACAAAAAAAAGAAAAAAGAGATTTAGCAGCTCAAAACCACAGTGTTACCATACAAGTATGGCGAGAAAAGGAAGCTAATAAAAACCATATAAGTATGGTCAAAAAAAGCAACTAATAAAAACCACAGTGTTACCATATAAGTATGGGCAGAAAAAGTAACTAATAAAAACCACAGTGTTACCATACAAGTATGGCCAGAAAAGAAACTAATAAAAACCACAGTGTTACCACACAAGTATGGCCAGAAAAAGAAACTAATAAAAACCACAGTGTTACCACACAAGTATGGCCAGAAAAAGATACTAATAAAAACCAGTGTTACCACACAAGTATGGCCAGAAAAGTAAACTAATAAAAACCACAGTGTTACCATATAAGTATGGCCAGAAAAGGAAACTAAAAATTGCTTTTAACATAAAAACAACAAAGGGATAATAATAAAGTGACATCAGGGGGTAGATAAAATTACTATTCAATGTGTTAGATATAAATATATCAATCAGTAAAACTCATATCAGAGTTACAAACATGTTTCCCTTGAAAAATAACGCGTGTTTTTGATGCAACACTTGTGCTGTTTTTCAGATTTTTTTTTTTCAAGATTTTATTTTTTCTTAAAATAAAATCTGGAATGAAAAGTCAAGCTTTAGTAAGTGGGTCTTGTGTATTGGGTAATTTTAAACTTATTAAATACAATTCTGGTAAAAAGTCTTAATTGAAAATTTAAACTTTCTCCTTAATATTTTGAAACAAAAAAAGTTTCTGATACAGTTTTCTTTAAACAAACACATACATACTAGTAAACCTACAATACATTAATTTATGAATTAATTGTTAAGTATTACATTTTCTTGATTGTGTGTAAAAGAGACTTATTTTGGAGGAGGGAATTCAATTGCATGATAAGTAGCATGTTCATCTACAGAAAATGTTTTCATTTTTTCCACATGCTGTATCTAACAAAACAAACATGAGGCATAGTCCAGAATATCAAAATTATTCTATTTTATTTCGGAGTTGAATATGATTAGTCAAATATTACAGGAACTTGTTTCTCATCCAAACACTACGACCTTACTGTCAAAAGTTCTCTAACAAATGAGTTGATGTATGGTTTTCTGGCTTTCTTTCCAGATAGATTCTATCTGTGATAACCTGACTTGGGCTGAAACCTTTTATAGTTATAGAAGCGATCTCTATAATTATTAATTTCTATTACAGTTTTAGTCAAAATAATGAAATGTTTTTAACTCGAACTTCTTCACTTAATTTAGTCACTTAATGATCATTAATATTTGCTTGAAATTGTGTTATCAAATATATCACAATTTGAAGTTATTGGCTATATTATGGTATGATTATTTTTAGCATGAAGCATACATATATCAAGCCCTAATAGTTGTATTAAATTATTTGAGTTATGTATGTAAAAATAACTATGATAAACAATACACCTGTTTCACAAATGAATTTAAAAAATTGTGATACACAAAAAAAAAAGAGGGTGAAACAACTTACCAATATACTGTCCCCCTGTGGCTCTTGAATCCACAGCAACCACTACACCCCCTTTATATTTGAAAGCCAAGGTTGTGGTACCTTTATCATAATGGATTTTAATTCCCTTGCCATGTTCATCTACAGTAAATTTTTTCAGTTTCTCCACAGGCTGTTGATACAAAATAAAGTGAGTTGTTTTCTAAACAAACTAAAAATCACATATATATATATATATAAAGAAATATAGATGTGCATGTGTGTACCACTACAAGAATAACTTATTTTAAAAAGAAATGATAAAACAACAATATAAAAAATTTTTTACATATGAATGGATTAAGGGTAGATTACTTCTTATTCTGAAACAAGAACTCACGTTAGGCTTACTCAATATTTAAGCAGTCTTGCAGTTCAAGATAATGGTTAACAACCAGTCAATCTTGCTTAAAATAACTTAATAAACATATTTCTTAAATCCTTTCCGCCTCATGCTGCGAGTCAACCAATCTTATACAGGACCAGTGAGTAGTTAACAACATTTCTGATAAATTCCACAACAATACAACAACTTTGGTATAATAACAGCAGAAAATACTTAGATTGATATTTACATTTTGGTAAACAAGGGTTTTACAAAATACTGGGTTTGGCAGTTTAATTGAAATGTCTTGGTAGATAGTAACCATAAAACAAACTTACCAATGATGTCAATTGTATTAATTATGATAGCTTACTCTGATCAGAAGTTTAATTTGTTCTCAAAAATACTTAATCTTAACACAATAAAAGTAGAAATGTTGTCAGAATTATAAAACATACATAAACAATTGTAGATTTGACACTTTTGTTGCTTATGTAAGGAAGCAGACATTACAGAACGTTAGTTTGAAAGAAAGACTCTTAACTTGTGACATCGCTGGAAAATCAAACTGAAAGCTCAATAAAAACAAAAGTCGAATTCAAACACACAATAAACCTCTCTCTCTCTCTCTCTATATATATATATATATATACACACACACACACACACACACACACAAAAACTAATACGTATTACTTACTTACGTTTTACTACTATATATAATTAATATATTACTTACTAGTAAGAATAAACTACGTACCACTACC